GATCAGGATGGTGGGTTTTCTTTTTGATAACAGTGTTTTTGCCTTACAGATTTTATAATAATGGACTTTTTTCTTCCTTTGAACGACTCTTCCATTTGGCCTCCCAGAACGGAAGAAAATCTTTGTCTTTTTACATGACCAAAAACAAAGAATATGTAATATTAAGCGTACTGGGCCTCGGAACCGCTTTGTTAGGTTTTAGTGTTAACAAAACTTATTTTGTAAACCTTTGGTGGAAGCATGTACCAACGATTTCGGGCCTGGTTTACTGTACACAAAGTGTTGAATGTCGAGGAAATTGTCGACATTTCCGAGGCCAAGAAAAGAAAAGAGAAAGAGAAATAATCAAAGAGGAAAGAAAAATATAAAATATTAACAATAATCAAAATATCTAACGATTGAGATATCCAATAAATTCTTCTAAGGAAACAATTTCGATATGTTTTAATAGTTCAAGAAATAAATTTCTCTACAAAAAAGAATTTTTCAATACTTGCCGGCTCCCGAGAATTATAATTCATTCTTTGGCCCTTGTTAATGCTACCGTTAACCGATTTCTGTCGAAAAAGAAATTTCCAGTTTCCTCCGTTAACTGGGTAGTGGAACGGGCGGGGTTGACATCCCGCCTTGGTCAAACTCCGCCAGCTCTTACTTCGCCATAGCTGTTCTGTTCGAATCCGGAGTTGTTTCCCCGCAGAATCGTCGAGCTCGTTTCAGTCTCTCTCCGCCTCCCCAGCTTGGGAGTGTTCGCTTGACGCGACACTCCCGCCTCTCTCAGCTCAAGTTCTCGCTCAAATCGCTGAGGTGGAGCTTCATATACCCTAAGAAAACCCGTTGCCCTCGGATTTCGTCTTTCTGTAGCTGGCACTTAAGTTCCGCCTTTGCATCTCGAGGAAAGCCAAACCTCACATTTCTGCTGAAATCTCGGCAGAATGCAGGTCAAAAAGGATGAAATTCCAAAAACAAACAGGTTAAACATTTCTAAACAAAAGTTCTTTGTTACACCTCATACACACGTGCAATACAAAAGCTTTGCATACCTTTCCGGAGTCCGCTGGCTTAACGTAGAGGTACGTCTTTACATAGCAGTGGCACTGCGCCAAAGTTGCGGAAGTCGTTCCCGAAACAAAGCCATTTTCTCGCTTGTAAACTTGGACATAAAATTAGAAATGAACGCAGGTATAGATGAAAATAGAATCCAATATGAAATTTGATAATAACACGTGCTGCTAAACTTAAAAGCGAGAGAAAAGTGTAAGTTGCCGAAAGGCACAGCTTACACACTGCAAATTAAGGCTGGAAGAAGTCCAGCGAGGTCGCAATGAGACACTTGAAATAATGATTATACTTTTAAGAGTAACAACTGGTTATTGAGCGGATATTGTGGAAATAGAAGTAGGCGCTGGGGTAAAAACCCTGTATTTGAACTTCCGTCTCTTTTGCTCAGGCACCCAGATAGGTATTGGTGACCACCTGCCCACCCATCAGGAACTTCCAACTTCCACCTGCGGATGCATCAATGGTCATTTAGTTTCATCATTTAAGGTGGCCGCCAGAGCATGTAGTGGTTAACTTCCTGTTAATTCTTACCAGTTGGCTATTAAGGCGTTGAACTCTTTGGACGGTTTTGGTTGGATAAGGAGCCAATTTCTGTCTTTTGAAGTAGATATAAAACCTTTCCGAGTAAAAAAGGTAAGCGTATAACTGAATATATTAAGCATAACCCGCTCAGTGTTTCAGTTTGACAAAAGATATAGTTGAGGTTTTAAAAACTTGCTGCAGTGGGTATCTTAAACTTTTACCCGTGTAATTTGAACAAGTTTTTTATTTGGGTCTGGGAAAAAGAGAAAGCTTTTTGGAATAGCTTTGCTTTGGGTGAGTGGCACTGGAAACAACCATTTGTTTAGTATATCCGTAAACTGCGTTGCAATTTTTACGATTTGAACTTGACATTGGAGTAATGGCTTGTCTTGTGAGGGAAGGCATGGGATAATTCCTTTCATAAAAAAGGCTCCAGCTGGCTTACCAAGTCCCACAAAAGTAGCGTAAACAACTGGTGATGTTATGCGACAATTCACTACAATGATTTTTGCTTACTTAGCGTGAAGTTGCTGTTTTTAGTAGTTCCATAGTTTCACTACCTTTTTTCATTTTTACGGCACTCTGGCACTTTTTACATCCGAATGTCATTCCTGGACTAAACTATTGCAACTGCTACTTCATTAGCGGTAAGTTTGCCTGCTCGAAAGTCTGTCGAAAGTTAAAATGGCCAATCAGAACTCTTTAACGTAGTTACTGAGGTAAGATCCGTAGGAGTGTCCGTCTTTCTAGCTCAGAATGATTAATGTAGGGAGTGGGAAAGGGTGCCCTTGAGATATTCAGCGGAGTCTAGTACTTCAGAAATCACGGACGTACTTTTCGTGAACATTTAAGATTGTCCAGAGAGCCAAGAAAAATAAGCCCTGCACAAAAATTCTTCGGTTTCCACAG